TGTGTAAAAGTTTACTAGCAGTGAAAAAAGATCTGCTACAGTGTTTTTATATTATTAGATGTCATATTTATTAGAGTTGTACCTTACACTGAGGGGGGCTTTGCTTATGTTGGGGACATTAATGCGAAACATTTTAAAATCGATGTTTTCGACTTGATAAATGGAATTATGAATTGTACCTATCAGTTATTAGTGATTAGGGATATTATAGTTGTTTGTTTGTGCAAGCGCAACTATTGAGCTTAGGGCCTCGATTTTCGGGTAGGGTAAAAGTACTAACAATTGATTTTTTTAAACTCGATTTTTAAGCAGGGATATTGGTTATTGTCCTTGGGAACCATGGAATTGTTTTTTATTTCATGTTGGGTACAGAGTCAGAGACAAACGAGTGAAATGCGAACTTTTTGTAATTTACAGTAACCACACTGATTTAAAAAATAAACGATTGATGTCATCGTATTTTTAATAGAAAGTTCACGATTTTTTATTTATCAAAAAACTAATACGTACCTAATTGGACGTTATACTGAAAATAATTCAATCAACAGTAAATATCATAATGAATATCCACAAGCTGTTCGACTATAAAGAGTACGTGAATGTGAACGGTATGATGTTTACTGACGAGCTGATATGTTTGCTACAAAATTCTTTAACTCTATTGCAAGTGGAGAACCACTTCATAAACATGCAATACTGGGGGCAAATATACGCCGTAGACACTGACTACCACATCGCCGTGGGCATCAACGCAGACGCCGTGGCCGACAGAAAATATTTTTACACCACAGACTTCAAATTCTGGGGCCTATTACCCAAAGCGAAGAAGAAGTACAAGCAATTATCTCTACTTACCACGTTCCCATTCAGAGGTGAACCAGCTTTGAAGATAAAAGTGTTAGACGAAGCGTTAGATGAGAATCACCCTGACAGGTGCACGATCATGAAAGAGGAAAGTCGCTTAGCTGCTACTATCAGCAACATTTCTGAGGAATCCGAAGTATGTGCTCGAGGACAGCTGATCAAGCAGCCGAGCGGCACAGTCGTTCTGAACCAGAATTTCTACGGTCTGACAGCAACAGAAGCAAAGCAGCTCAAGTCCTACCTCCACATCAGACCAGCTCAACATCGCTGGAACACAAACTTGCTCACAAGACAAGACTACAACTACAGCATGGATTTTCTCGATTCTATAGATCAGGATATTCCAAGCGGCTGTTGGAATCTTTCTATAGAACAATCGGGATCAATCGCGTATTTGAAAAGTCTGTACTGGCCTGGAATGATGTATTTTCATAAAGTTAAAACAGCTGACGCTGGTTTCCTCTATATAGGGAACGGACGTAAAAATTTAGATGTACCTTTCCTACTTTAATTTGTTTATGTTTCAATGTTTATCGTTGTCCCATTATTATGAGTAAATGTTATATTGTGCTACTTTAAAATACCAGCATTTTCATTACCTTCCATATATTTATTTAAAATTTCTCGTAAAGTTACATTTTTAAATACTACAGTATAAAAAATAATATTTAAAAATATAAAAATAGGAGCCGACCAGTAGTGGGAGCATGGTCCAAGCTACCGGTGGTTAGGGCTCCAGAGACAGAAACCTCCTCACAATGCGCGCCGTTTCAAGGAGAACTGCCTTCTGTATTAGGCCCTTGACCCAACTGCCTAACGCTAGCCTCCTAAGGTGGTTGTCGAGGCTATTAGGGATTAACCCATTGGCCGACACGACTATCGGCACAATGATAGCCGAATCTACATTCCACATGTCGACAACCTCGTGAGCCAAATCAAGATATTTGATTTGTTTATCTTTTTCAGCTTTCACGAGGTTCTCATCATGAGGAATAGTGATATCGATTATCATCGTGCGGCGCACTTGTCGGTCTATCACCACTATATCAGGTTTGTTGGCTATAATAGTTCTGTCAGTGATGATAGACCGGTCCCAGTACAACGTGATATGGTCATTTTCCAGAACTGGGTCGGGCACATACTTGTAGTACAGTACCTCAGACTCAACAAGTCGATAGTGCAAAGCAAGTTGCTGATGGATAATCTTGGCCACTTGATTATGCCTATGCAAATATTCACTGTTAGCCAAGCAACCACAACCAGAAATAATATGTCTAATGGATTCACCAGGACTATGACATGCCCGACATATGTCAACCGTCCCATCCTTAATTATATATTTCCGGCAGTTATTCGTAAGGATAACTTCGTCCATAATTGCACAGACAAATCCTTCAGTTTCTCTAAAGAGATTACTGAATCGTAGCCAAGACACGGACGCTAGAAAATCTACACTGGGCCCATGAAGGGCCCGGAAGAAGTCCGTGGAGCTCCTTGCTATGCCATACCTCCTTGCGATCATTGACGCTCAGTAGGTACCACAGGTTTGCGCCAGTTCTCTTTTGCCAAGGATAGCGGAGTGAATCCATTGTCTACCGCTGCTACTTCTCGATGCATACCCTCGTTGACTATCAGGAAATATTCCCTGAGGTTGCACACCTCACGGTTGTGAAGGGTCTTAGCATTTAATAAGCCTCGACCACCACACTTCCGCGGGATTACCATTATTATACCTATATATTATTATTATTTATATTACCATTCATTACCTTCTTTATTAGCATAATTTTTATCTCGGTCCATATTATTATGTCCCTCAGAAATTACAGAGCGCCATCTGGTAAGATCCTAAATAAATTCTGGAACCGCGGACATCTTAATGGGTTACCGGGCCTTCGGCTCGAAGCAGAAGTAGGAATGGAGTACAATATAGTTAATTATATAACGGGAAATTTATAGTTTTTAGTCAGTAAGAGTCTGACACTCCCTCTCGCTTCATACAAAGCGGGAGAAGCCATTGGATGATTTTCCCCCCAAAAAAATTAATGATTATTGCACTATTATTGGTCTTGCCTTTGGTATATATTATAATATAGTAGTATTTTTCCAATGAGAATGAAAACTTGTGTTCTCCAACTTTCAATAATGGGCTTCGGTCACTTCGGTCCGCTTTCCTAACTTCCATAGACAACCAAAATCGTATTTTTTATAACAACTTTTAATCTAACTTTCCTGGAAAGAAATCTAATCATATTTGTTACAGGTAATACGAAGAAACAATAATTTTTGAATTCGAAATATCGCTAAGGATGGACTTTACACTATTTTGCCTTACCCCTCTGTCCTTTAATATCAAGCTTTGCATTAGCCAAACCATAGAGCAACACGGAGGGGAGTAGCCATTGCGTTATAAACCGATACAAAACTGTCTGTCATTTTTTGCGGGGGGAAATCACACATTCTCAAATTCTCACACAAAAACATTCTATGTCACTACGAAACTCACACTATGACAATTGAAAAATACACTGACAATTTCACACACACATTTAAACAATCCCTGTCGTAATAGTGTAATAATATGACGCAACTACACTTACACCCCCAGTTGTAACAATTATCGATACGCATTATCGATAAATTCAAGAACTCCGTTAACTAAGGAAATTAGCTTTAAAAATTTATTCAAAGACAGATATTATTATTGACTTTAATTATTATACCATTTTTTTACCTAATTAATTATTATACCCCTAACTACCTACTACTACAATAATCAGACAAGATAATAATAACAAATAAAATTTTCATTTTTTTAAATAAATTAAATTACTAATCCCATTTAAAAACCAGCGATGAAATACTGATACGGAACTATCACTGGTATTTTAAAATAGATTAATTTTCTTTAGATATGACGAATACATTTTTGGGGGTTTTGTTTTTTTCAATAAGTTAGAAATTATTGTATCAGTTTATTTTTGCATTATTAATCTTGCTAATACATCTTGATTTGAGCAAATGGCAATATTTCTTGTGGGAATCCAGGTTGGTCTGTTATGACAAAATGTCTTACATATATCTCTTAAATTTGGATCTTTAGGAAATCTGCAATAAATAAATAAAATAATAATAATAATAAATATAGTTGAAGTTCTCACTCAGTATTTTTTATTTAAATCAGAAAACTTAATCCCAAAAAATCTCACATTTGACTTCAGCTTTTACATTTTTATCGATAACTATCTACAAACAAACCGGCAACAACGCTATCGCTCGGCGACAGCGAATTCTAGGAAAAAAACTCGGATTTGTCGCTCGACTGATCCGCGTTTTGTATGAGTACGCACGGATTTGTTGGTAAACAAATCCGAAACAAGACGATTGATAATATTGTAGTTTTTTTAAGTTTTTAAGAAGTAAATAGCAATAATGTGATTAAAAATTACTTAATATGAAAGGTAACACCATGTTTTTGTAAATTTGACGTGGCAGATCTCTTTTTGTAGCAAAAAACAGAACAATTCGGCATTTTTACGACGCCGTCGATTCACTAACGCAACTAGATTTAGTCTGGTGAGCAGTTGAGTTGCAACTAGTTTTATTGTACGCATAGGACCATTTGGACTTATACTTTGACAGAGGGGAACGCCTGCGTATGGCTACTCCCCTCCGGTCCGCCGGTGGCCCGTGTTGCTCTATGAGCCAAACAAAGCAACAGCTTATTTAGTTGACCATAAACAATCTGGAGAATAGCGACTCGCAGAGTTGCCACCGTTTGCCTCGTTCGGCGCGAGTTTTGCTAAATAAGAAATTAGACGACGTCGTTCAAGTTTTATTAGAATAATAAAATACGTTTGTTTCACTGTTTTTTCACCAAATGGAATTTTTCTAGTAGCCACAGACGATAAAAAATAGTTTGCACTAAGTAACTGAATAAATCTAGTCAACTTAAACTAGCAACATCGACATACGTCACATTCCCTCCCTCCGCTCCGCTCCGTTTTTCATTCGGTCGGTCGTTTCACATCACCTGTCGAAAAAAATCCTTGGCGCCTATTATAACCGGCTTTCATCATTTTCGTATTTTTCAATTCAATAAAAAACTATCTTATTTACTTTCTCGTATTATAAAAATGGCTACGGACAGCGTCAATATAACCGAAGACGCTGAAATGGCGGATTGCGATGGAGACAAAGTTGTTACGATGATGGATGTTTTGCAAGAACAACAGGATTTCGAAGAAGATGCCAACGCTGTGCTTGGAGCTTCCGATGATAAAAACTGTACTTATTCAAAGGTATAAAATCTTGTTAAACTTGAAACTTACAATTTTACAAACATGGCGTTGCCAAATAATTGACGTTGCATATCTCATACTTTCGGCTTATTTCCTATTAGATGTCTGTCTCGGGTGACTTGTTATGGCTTAATATTAGACCTACTACAATAAAACATATAAATCTAGAGTACAAGTCTATGAACCCTCAACCATATGACTGCAATATGTTCAAAAAGTACAAAGGAACTCAGCTGTATGATTTGCATACACTGGCTTCAACCAAATTGATTCAAGATGTTCAAGATTGTTACAAACACTTGTAATGTCTAATAAGAATGCCTTAAGATTAATACATTTAACTCTTCGTTAAATAATTAAACCTTACCATTACCACCATACCATATTATCATATGTTACTCAATATGATTTCCTCTTAGGTGCATGTTGTAGCAATGTATGATTTAAGATTTAACCCTTTTTATATTAACAATAGCACCTATTTGAATACTATAAATTCACATGGTCTCAGTTTTATTATATAGTTTATCCAAAAGGTTACCTATCTTATTTCCTTTCTAAAACAAGTTATTAAATGGGTCATAATGTTGTGACTGTTAATAATATATAGGATAATGAAATACTCCCAAGCTTAAGAATTTAATTAATCTTAAGAATGGAGACTGTGTAAATATTACTCTTTACTCTTGTAATATAAAGCTTGTATAAATATTCTAAGAACCATTTATTTTAAGAAATGATGTAGTATGTATATTTGATTCAGAGTTCTTTCTGCATACTTAGGCCTGTATTATGTTATTTCCATGTTTTTAAGAAGATTACCAAATCGCCTTCACACACACACTACAGTCCTATTATTTGCTTTATGTTCCAGGGTTACATCAAAAGGCAAGCCTTGTATGCCTGCCTCACATGCTGTACTGAAGCTAAAACAGACCCTACAAAGAGAGCTGGTGTGTGCCTCGCTTGCAGCTTGAATTGTCATGAAAACCATGAACTCATTGAGCTCTACACTAAAAGAAACTTTAAATGTGATTGTGGCAACCCCAAGTTCAACTCCCACCCCTGCCATTTCACTCCAGACAAAACTGATTTTAATGAAGAAAACATTTACAACCAGAACTTTAGTGGACTCTACTGCACTTGCCAGCGGCCTTATCCAGACCCCGAGGCAACTACTGAAGATGACATGATCCAGTGTATCATCTGTGAGGACTGGCTCCATTCCGCACATCTAGAAGCTGTTGTACCTGCCAATGACCAATACTCTGAAATGATTTGTAAAAGTTGTATGGAGAAGAATGAGTTCCTACATGATTACAGTTCATATGCAGTTAATGTAGAGACCGGGGATGTGGATATTTTAAATGTAAATGGTGATGCTAAATCTACTGATAATAATAGCCTTTGTAATGGGGACAATGATAATAAAACTGAAATTCAAATCAGTAACATTACTACAACAAATGGAGATACTGATATGAATGAAGACAAAGCCACAGATGATACAAACAACAAAACCACTGAAAGTATTACTGAAACTAAACAGGATAATGTTGAGTCTACAGAAGCAACAGCAGATGAAAAGACTGATAGTGTAAACCAAACTGATACAATGGATGTTGAAAAAAGAGAAGTAAACAATCAGCCTGCAGAAAATATTGAATCAACTGAACCAGTTGTGAAAGGCAGTGATAAATTGTCTGACACTTTGAAGGAACAGCCTGACAGTAAGTTAGAAGATAAAACAGAATCTGGTCAGAGTGATGAAGCAACCAAGGGACAGGCAGAAACCGTTGAAAATGAATCAAGTAAGGATGACAATAAAACAGAGCAACAACTTTTAGATGACCTTAATGCTCTAACCAATGCCAATCCTGTAGAAAAAGAAAGTGATAAAACTGCAGAAAATAAATCTGATAGTAATGTGGAGCAATCTGAAGACAGTAAGAAAACTAAACATGAAGAGCTACCCAAAGAAAGTGAAGGTAGCCCCAAACATACTACAGTTGATGAGAGTGAAGTTGAAGTTCCTGATACGTCACAATCTGAAAAAGATACTAAACAAAAAGCTAATGACGACAAGGATGTTTCGGTGATGGATGCGATCGACGAACTGTTGCAAACAGCAAATGCTGAAAAAGAATCTGAAACAACAGATGAAAATAAAATATCCTCAGTGAATGAGGAAACTAAACAATCTGATGATATTGAAATGAGTGCTGGTGACTCAAAAGTTGATAATGATATGTCAAGTAAAACTGAAGATGTACCTGAAACCAGTGATAAAACTAGTCCTAACAATGAAACAGATGACATCACAAACGAAAATGAATCTGCCAATAGTAGCAAACCCAATAATGATGTTAAAATTAATTCAGATGATAAAACTGCTGATAGCATTGAAGAGAATACTAGTAAAACTGAAATGAATGGGTGTGAAGATAAGCTCGACAAAGAATCTCCAGCAGATATTAGTGAGAATTGTAAAGAAAAAATTGAGCATGACAAAGATAGTATGGAAAGTTTGGAAGACAATGAAAATGATAACAAAAATGAAGAAAATACTAAGGAACACAAACGGAAACTAAGCACTGATTTGACAAGTGTTTCACCGAAAAAAGCTAAATTGGAATGTGTGAGACCCAAGGGAGTGAAAAGAATTCACAAGGGTGCTACATTCTGGCCGTCTAACTTCCGCCAGAAGTTGTGTACTTGTAATGAATGTCTGTCGATGTACAACGACCTCAAAGTACTGTTTCTTACTGACTTGGAGGACACTGTTTTCGCGTATGAAAGTTTAGGTAAGGAAAATGCAGCAGGCGCCTCACAGTATGAGAAAGGACTGGAAGCACTGTCTTCATTAGATAGAATACAACAAATAAATGCCCTCACAGAGTACAATAACATGAGAGACAAGTTGCTTGACTTCCTCAAGAGTTTCAAAGACAGGAAAGAAATTGTAAAGGAGGAAGACATCAAAGCATTTTTCGCTGGAATGAAACCGCGACGTGAACCTGACGGTGTTTACTTTTGCAGATAAAATTAGTATTAAGGATTATTTTGTATGTTTTTAATTTGTGATTCTGTGACCGCATTCCTCTTGAGTAATGTTATGCGAGATTGATGGTTATTGAATTCTCAATATATTCAATTTTGTGATAATATTAAAGACTTTTATTTACCCCAGAACATGAATACACTTTCACTGAAAATCGCGGGTTACTCACGTGAAAATACTGAGAAAAGCTCTACTAGTTTCGAACCACAGAGAGAAGGCATGGAGAAGAACCCCTCTGTGGTTCAAAACTAGTAGAGCTTTTCTCAGTATTTTCATGTGAGTAATCCGCGACTTTTAGTTAATTTAGTATGTCTCACAGTAGTTATTATAAAAACATGAATACACATTGTAACTTACACTGCTCCTACTGAAGGAAATTCATTTATTACTGGTGGAATTATAACGACGTCGCTGATTCGATTTAAACTGACAAGCTGAAAATTACCTGCCGTTTCGTATATATTCCATTCCATCAAAGAAGAGGGAATGGTACGTTAGTAGTGATGGAAGTGAATTCATCAAGGTTCAGGTATGAAGTTTTGGATTTGATACCAGGAACCTGTGTGCGGATTACATTATAAATAACTAGCTTTTACCCGCAGCTTCGCTCGCGTCACAAAAGGATAAAAAGTAGCCTATGTAACATATACCAATACATACAGCGCCATCTATACCAATACTTTTATTTTCCCTCTAGAATATCAAATTTTTTCGGGAGAAAAAGTACCCTATTATTTAATCCAGACTACTAACTTTACGTCTGCAAAAATTCAATGCAATAGGTTTAGTAGTTACGGCGTGAAGTCGGAACAAACAAACAAACTCACTTTCCGATTTATAATATATTAGTAAGGATACATACTCATACACATACATATGTTGGTATTAAACATAATAAACTTTGATGAATCCATATCATAATGATAATTACGCGGGCGCGACGCCTACATGTACTATATTATGTTAGGTATGTATAGTTACAAAGTAAGGTAAAAGAAACTCAATGTATAAGTAAGATAATTAACTTTATTATCGTAAGAGGTTATTGGAGGTGCTATCGCGATCACGCGTACAGTATATCGTAGTGCCCGGGGCGATACAGCAAGTGCACCAGTGGCTTCGAGCCCTCGGGGAAGTCGTGTGCTATGACCTGCAATACAAATTCAAATTAATATTGACATCTAAGATATAGGACCAGATACTACAACATTTATATTGTGATGGCAACTAAATACTTGTATGTTATTTTTTAAAGTTGCCAATACTGGGCTATGCAGTACTTATGCATAAATGGGGTAAAAACACAAGGAACAAAATAAATAGCATCCAACCAAAACATCCTCTCAAAACTAATAGTTTTATACCAAAAAGAAAATCTAAGCAGTCTACCAAAAGAAGCTAAAGTTATAATCAGAGAAATGTTTTTTAGTTATGCAATTATAAACGAATATAACTATAAAAGTCTGACATTGATTAATGAATACATACAATAGATGATTTATGCTAAACTGCATAGTTTAAGCCTTGCCATGTCATTTGTGGTGCTCATCTATTTATCTTTATCAGCACCTTTAAAATGAGTTGTCTTGTTTGCTACACCCACAAATATAAACAATGGCATGAACTAACAAAATATGATACAAAACATTCATACCCCTTCTGTCACATGGATTGCTTGTATTTCAACCATTTCCTGGCTTGGGCCGGGTTTTGCCTAGCATAAATCATCCTTTATTAAATTAAAGATCACAACAAAGTACTACACCAAAATGTAACAGTAAAATAAGTGTATGCAACATGCTTGGCAATAACAATAAGCATATAAAGCCCAAGGAGTTCAACATACATTATTAACTACATAAAGTGTGAAATTGCATACTTCTCTATACCAGATGACCTGGCAGACAAATTGTCTACCTTGGAAGTTACAATTTCTACTTCAATGATGACAAATCCACAGTTTCCTTGGTTGCTAAGTAGTTTGCTAATAATAGAATCAATATTTATAATGCAATATGATGTGTACCTTACTAACCTGACTTCCCTCGCCGCGGTCCATGTATTTCACTCTGACACCAACATTCAGTGCATTGCTCAGTGCTATTATGTGAATATGATCAGACTCCTTGTACATTGGTTCCACTTCCTGTGAACAAATATATCCTTATTATAAAATCTTATTGATTTATAAAATCATCACTACAAGAAATCTAAGTGTATGTAAAAAAGTAGTGAACATTATTAATTAATGTTGTGGATATTAATTATCAATATATATCACATACCTGTCTACAGAACTCAGTCACAGTGCGTGGTCCCTCAATGAAGTTCTGATAGAAATCATTCTCTGTCTGCAACTGTCCCGATGTGACAAGACGCAGGTACACCACTATATAGTCCGAGTAGCCCTGTTTGTTGAACTTGTCATGCAACTCGGCTCTCACTGACTCTAGAGAGTCTGGTGACCCTCCTGCTTGCTCCCCAACCCGCTGCACCACTTCCATAAACTGAAAGAAAAAACTTTACAGTCAATTGGTGTCAGCAATAATTAGTATGTCATAGTATTAGTTATCAAGCCCAACCTTGTTTCTCTAATTACAGAATTAATTATCTTCTTGCTCTGGGCATGGTATTTACATGTGCTACTTTTTCAACAAGAATATATACAAGCCGGCAGTCATTTAAAATATTGTTTGTCTCACACCGACACAAAGACGTACTACGGCGTAACCACACATTACTCACAACAACAAAAACACAACTAACCTCCAAAAATAAAAATAAAAAAATCTCACCGTTTCGTAAAAGTCTTCCACTGTGAACTGTGAGAAACCTAAGGCGACAAGAATCTCCTTGGAATTCTTCGCTATTTCATAAAACTTATCGAATTCACTCTTATCCGTCAATAGATGTTCTAAATACGCATATGAGAACGCTCGGAAGAAACAGTTGCCGTCCGGTCGCGTTCTCCTAATATACTTATATTTAGAGGACAAATCTTTTACTTTTAACAGGTACACGGGATCCTCGTTATATTCTTTTTCTAACGACGACAATGCTTCAAGTTCGCCTACAAGCGGTATCGTTTCCGATATCTGCAAAACAAACACAACACAATGTCAAAGTTATCTTTAAACTTTAAGGAAAATAGTGGATTTGTTGCACTAACAGCATACCATTTGTGAAGCTTACCTCTTTCTCTATCTCACGCTGTTGTTTCATAATCAACTCATCTTGATTTATTGAGTTATCTATTAAATTGCCGGCGCAACCGCTACTGCTGGAAGCATCGTCCGCCATTTTTAAATAAAATAAAAACTAAAGTGACATAACACGACAAATAAATGACAATCGAACCTAGCAAATAAAGTACTGCGTTCAGAAATAATAATTAGTAAAAACGTAATTATTTTATGCACAGTGACATCAATTCCAACATCTTGTTTTTTCTGTGATTTTATAATTACGCTTAAGCAAGCTTATGCTACATTTTATGATACAAGTGGCTGATTTGTAACTTTATTACCTCCCATATTTTACGTGCATTTTTATGTATGATAAAGGTTTTTGATTAAGTGGACAGTGGAGATTATTTTATAAGTGGGAGGATGTTGAAATAAAGGACATGGTAAGAAATAAGAAGAAGATTTCACTTTACCAACCACAAACGTCACGAACTGCTTCTTATTACATACACTACAGCACTACAGTACACTTATCTCATGGGGATGAAGCAGTCCGTTTTCACCTCATTCATAAAACCACACCATGTTTATTAAATAAATCATGAAAAATATTGTTACAAACTTATTTATTGTACTTAAATAATAATTACAAATTTATCCTATTTTCTTTAGAATACAAATTAGATTTTTGAGGAATTCATTTCTTATAAAATGTCATAGGTTTTTAATCTAATCTGCAAACATGTCCTCAATCTTCTTTTGTACTTCCTTCTCTGTTTCGGAATTAAGTTTGTCTGGCAGGTTCTTGACAGATTCCAGGTCTGCAGGTTCACCATCATCAGCAGGTGCTTCTCCTTTCGCCTAGAACAGATAACAAGCCCAGTTAGCCTTCAACCACCTTCCTTCCTAGCCTATACAAGAATAATTAGTTGAATAGTTTCTGGATCTCGTAATTGTAACATATTTACCTTCTGTAATTGTATTTCGAGCTGCATAATGGCGCGTTCAAGTCGGTAGTTGTCTGATACAAGCTGCGCCCATCGTCTTCTCAAGGCTCTTAGTCTTGCACCACTCGCAGTTTGAGATCGTTTTCTCTCCCAGTTAACAGATGCAATTTGTTTTCTAAAATAATAATAGAAAATGTAAAGACAAAGAATTTTTAGTACATACTTACACATGTTTTTACGATCACATGCTTAAACAAGAAACATTCGTTCTTCAATCAAGTCCCATGTAAAATATCTATTAAAACTTAGAAGTTAAAGTTATGAATCAATGAAATATAACCTCCTCCTTAGTGAGAAGTCCATTAAAAATTGGAATATTAAGAAGGTACTTAATAACAGTATTACAAAAGCTATACCAACCTTAACTGGCCATGCACATTCTGTGACCGTGTGACGAGTGCCTGCAGTGTGTTGAGGTAGGACCGCCATGCTTCTGAGCCATACTGTAATTGTAGCTCCAGATTCAACACTCTGATAGCTTGGTGAGACAGCTGTGCGTGGGAGTTGTCTACTGACTCTGCCCAGGCTGTTGGTTCACCCAGACGTCCCGCTGGAGGTGGGGGCAGTTCATAACTGTGAAGTTAGAAGTTAATGGTTAGCTAGTGGTACAGACATATAAAAGAGAAACTTAAAAAAAAATCTCTTGTATTACCTCTTTGAAATGTGAACCACTGAATCTTATTACAATGATATACTTTAATCTTTAATTATTTCAGTATTCGATTCTTGTTCTCAAGTTGAACAAAAATAGAACACTGAAATAATTGAACTCCAACTTATTACTCAAAACCATATTATTATGAACCACAAGATCCAAAAAATGCTGACCAAAAATGTTTCTTTTGTCGAATATTTGAGGTATTACATTGTTAAACACTAACTATTACTTACCGTTTCATAGACAGTGGTTCCATGGGAAGACGTTGCTGCACCCTCTCCATTTCTCTCTGTAAAGCTGGCGTCTCGAATGCTGTACTGGGCTCAGGGCCAGCATTTTCTAAATAGTTCTTAGTCGGTCTGTACCTCCGACATTCTTCTTCTACCATAGCCAGGGCCTAAAACAGAAAGAATCTAAAGATATCTTGAAATCTCTAATGGTGAGAAATGTTTAAGGTTATGTCCCTATACTTACGGCTTCCCTGACTCCTGGGTCATCATAACCTTGGTCAATGTAAGGTAACGCGTCTACTACAACTTCGCCGGACATGTTTTATGATTATTTTCTACGATGAACCAAACTATTTCGTAAAAATGTAAAATAAACACGAGCGAGATTGATTTTTGTTGACAAATACTTGTGTGTGTTTTTAAAACATGTAAAACAAAAACACCATTGCGTGATTGACACACGGGCTTTTAAGAATGGAGTACATCTGAAATAAGAAAAATAACTGAAAGCTTGTTATGTACAAATGTTTTACAAAATTTGTAATAAATGAAATGAAATATATTTAATATTTCTTGGGAGATGGATATACAATTTAAAACCTAATCTTTTCTCTTTTAATGTGTAATCATAGTAAAAACAATCTAAATCGTTCGGAAACTACAAAGTAAATACGATGAAAAAAATACGCAATGACACTTGACAATTTGACATTAACAACCGATTTCGTGTCATGTTGGAGTTGGATTTGTTTTGTAATTAATTTACAATCTGAAAGTTTTCTCTATTCTCTCTATTTATTAAAATAGATGCTAAAGTTTCCCAAACTTGCTATCATCATTTATGATAATTTATATTTAGATATAGTAATAAAGAAACAGTATAATACTCTTACAGATTTGCAATAGATATTAGTTTACAAGTTAAATGATAACAGTAATAATATTTTATTTCTCATTGTAAAAGAAAATGACTCTACAGGAAACTATGATCAGTCAAGAACTTGCTAATGTAGATTTATCTAAGGTGAGTTCAGAGTCGAATACTTATATCCTCAACTGTAAACTGGAAAACTTAAATCATTTTATTACTATCAGAGGAAGTACTTATAATAATTTTTAATCAATTTGTAGGTTGCAGCCTTACAACAGAAGCGAACATTGGCATTTGTGAACCATTTTGTGCTTACTAATGTGCAGTTTTTGAACAATTTCATGAAGACATGTGAACAGAAACTTATGGATTTTGAAAAGAAACTGGAGAAAGTGAATGCTGCCATGGTTTTATTGGAGGCCAGAGTAATACTTGTTTTATCTTACTCATAGTACTTTATTACATGGGTTTACTAGAGAGTTCCTGTGGGGAAGAAGTGGGGGAGGCCTTTGTCCAGCAGTGGACGTCTTCCGGCTGTTGATGATGATGACTTAAAGTTCTAAAGTAATTCCATGCTTATACAAAACCATTCATTGAACTAACTAAACCTTTAATTTCCCAGCTCTCATCCATACCAGAATTGAACACAGCAACACCAACACCAGTTCAAAAGCCAGCTGAAGTCACAGAAACCACATCAACTGAAGAAACTCCAGCGTCAGAACCACAGAACACAGTGCCTGTCCAAGATTCAAAGGAACAAGAAACTCCCAGCGAGTCCACAGATACTGTAGAAGGCAAACCTTCACATCCTGAGTATGACAGATTTGTCAAAATGGTACAAGTTGGAGTACCATTACAAGCTGTGAAACTAAAACTATCATTGGAAGGATTAGATCCTAATATTCTTGATCAGATCTTGGGGAAATAATCTCAAATGTTTATTGCTAGAGAATCTATAAATATATTATTTAGTTTTTACCAATTATGGCCTATACATAATAAGAAATATTACGAGCTAGCCAGCTTTAAAATGTTTGTTACATGTATGTAGTAAGAAACAAATAATAAAAAGCTTATGTATAATTTTAATAAAATGTTATCTTAAAAATCATGTATTATTTGCCAGTGATAAAATTGTAATTACATGAGCGGCAGCTAGTCTCAAAAATGGATGAATTGATTTAGGGTTATAACAATATTTAGTAATACCTATGTAATACTACAAATGGTTGAGATTACTTGAAATAATGTTATATCTGTCCAAATCTGAGCTGTACATAAAGCAAGATAGCAAAAGAAAAATCAACAATTGAGATAGAAGAAAGAGATCTATTGAAGAAGAAAAATAGTTGCACTGTTAGATTACTAGAAACTCAGGTTTTGTAAATCCTTTTTGGGAACCTTACAATGAATTGGGTAGAACAATAAAAGAAGTTGAAGTTAGTTAAACTTATTTATTATCCAGCCTAGAACTGAATCATCTGTCCCTTCCTCTTCTTGTCTCCTCCCAGCTCGAAGTGCTTGCAGCGCTTAAGTGCTACCTGTGACCTCACTTTGCAGTCAGCACACTCAAGACGGAGCACAATTTTCTTTGTGGTTTTCGCCTAGAAGTAAATAGAAGCAAATTAAATTACATTCAAAGAACCCAAAGCTTACAGGACATAGACTACATGTAATTCCTGAGAAATATCATGGCTGCATGTGTTTTTGTTTCTGTTGTAACAGTTTACTTTGCACACACTACTAAGTATATCACATAGATGTTCCATGCTATATAAATGGGTCATTGGAATAAGGTTTTACTGCAAAAAAAATATAATTGAAGTCACATTTTTTAATTTATGACGGTGAGTAACGAAAACATGAGCTCAAACGTACATTTTACACGAATCTCATACATAATAAGCAATATAAACAACTAGATTTAGAGGTTATTGTACCTACATCACTTTATTCTTTTTGAATCATTTATCTAGTAGTAGAGACAAAACACGTACTGGAGTAATTATAGTGATAAGAACCCGGTTCATAGGTTATGATCACTTACCTTCTTCTTGAAGATAGGCTTGGATTGACCACCATAACCTTGCTGTTTACGGTCGTAACGTCTCCTACCCTGAGCAGCGTGCCTTTCCTTGGACTTTTTGTACTGAGACACCTTGTGGGTTTTGTGGCACTTGCATTTTTTGCAGTAGGTCCTGCGCTGTTTAGGTACGTTCACCTGAAATTTTGAAAGTTCACCATGAAATATTTCTCCTGTTCACATCTTCAACACATCACTTAAGATTTCCACTATAAATAAGTGTGATTTTATTACTGTATTTTAAGATTCAATTGGATAAAATTTTATAAAACACAAACCATTTTGGCGTTCGTTTAGCACGATATCAACAAACGTCAAAGAAAGAAAGAGCCGCTGTCAGTTTTCATTTGACAATGTAAAAATTATTGCCAACACGAAAGTCAAGAAGTCTGGCAACAAAAAAAATTTTTTTATTACACTTCTTCTTGTCCGTCACATCGCAATCGCAATAAAATTATTGTGAATATTTCTTTCAGATACATAGTTGTGACAAAATTATACATTAGGAATGCATGAAAAGTGTAAAATGTGGACGAAAAAAAGGCTCAAGTCTTGATCAACTAGTTTCAAAACGTTTCCGCGAATATGTCAAAAAAATGTCAAATTAAAAAGAAAACAGAATTTTAGCGCCAAAATAGACAAGTGCTCCTTGAAACACTCGCTCAAAAGTTGTTATTTATTTATTACTTGTAACGTAATCATATAAAGTAAAAATATGAAGTTCGCTATCCCTGAAATATCGTGGCACAACAGAGATCCTGTACTGAGTGTGGATTTCCAACCAAAGGCTGAGTCTACAGAACCATTACGACTTGCAACTGGAGGCACAGATTCTCATGTTTTGGTATGATTTACACACTTAACATTTAAACATTTACGCTATTATAACAAAAACTATATTTTATAACGACCGAACAATGAGTTTTCTACAAGTTTAGACGACTTATGTTTTCGAAGTTTCAAATAAGAACTTTGTTTTTTCTTCCAAACAACCTATTTACGCTAGCATTAATCATCAACAATAGTAACGATAGGCACTTATCTTACAATCCACTCTTTACACGCTTTAATTACTCTTTCAGATCTGGTACATTTCAACCACAGATACAGGTTCAGTAAACTTAGAAGTTGCAGCTGACCTCACTCGCCATCAAAAGGCTGTCAATGTGGTACGATGGTCACCTAATGGCCAGTTCTTGGCATCAGGTGATGATGAATCTATTATATTTATTTGGAAGAAGACTGATAAAGAACCGGCGCCAGTAATGGAACAGAGTGAAGAACAGTACAAGGAATCCTGGGTTATTCACAAGGTAGGTTATTTGTTTAGGTTAATTTACTATGAATTGGATCATTATAATCATCTAAGGACAAGAAGTCCTTATCACAGAGACCTCTTTATAGTATAGGTATATCAATAGTGTAGAAAGGCCTAGTATCCTCTTTAACTGTAGTTACATATTGTTATAGCAGTGATACATCCAAACTTTCTATGCAATGAGAACTCTTAATAAAATTGCTCATTGTAATATAATGTGTGCTAGGTACTGTAAAGATTATTCTATTTACACAGCTGTAATTTACTCCACAGCTCCTTCTTCTCAATATTTAATTGATCAATTTCTGTTTCCAGACATTAAGAGGTCACATGGAGGATGTGCTAGATATATCCTGGAGTGCCAACTCTTTGCACCTTGCCTCTGGCTCAGTAGACAATAAACTCCTCATCTGGGACCTAAACAAAGGGAAGTACAGCACCATACTGACAGACCACAAAGGATTTGTACAGGGAGTCTCATGGGACCCCAAGAACCAAATGATTGCTACTGCTAGTTCAGATAGGTGAGTTGTTGTGATTTGCTGACTAAAGCTCTAATTTAGGTATGCTGAGACCGTTTTCATTGAGTGGACAAAGTTTTATAAACTGTTATTAAATTTTTTAATAAACAGTGTTGTTGAAAAAGAAAATAATGGTTGAAATGTAAAACTAGCTAAAGATAAAAACACAGTATTTACTATTTTTGTTAAATAATAACAGAAATTAATTGTAAAAGACCTAATAATTAATTCTCTCTTATTGATCATTTATGGGCACTTTAATAGTGTGGTATTCATTCTTTTCCAGAGTATTCCGCACATTTGATGTGACTTCGAAGAAGGTGACATCCCGCAGCAGTAAGGCAATCTTACCATTCCCCTCTGAACATCCTCTACATGATGTCAAAGTCAGACTGTATCATGATGACACACTACAGACTTACTACAGGTTAGTAAGCTATTTTTATCATGCACTAGCAAACCCGGCGAACTCCGTTTCGCCACCGTTTCGGCTTCGTTTTATGTAACATTATTTGCTATAAACCTCACGGAGCCCGAGACCTTGTTGGTTGGAAAGGTCATCGATCCGATTTCAGTTCGTGCGTTCTGGAGTTATAGAGTCAGGAAGGCCAACCAGACTTATTTTTATATAGTAGATTATACTACAAAACTGTGTAGATAATTACTTGACTTATAAAAAACACATTTGTGCTAAGCATGACAAATGCTAGACGTAAAATAAAATTAATTCTATTTGTATTTCACACAATATCTCTTTCATCTGATTACAGGAGACTTCAGTTCAGTCCAGATGGGCTGCTACTGGCAGTTCCATCGGGACGCATAGAGCCTGAGCAAGGCAAGGTGGACATCAAGCCTATTAATGCTGTCTACATCTACACAAGATACTCTTTGAAAGTGTAAGTAGAATTAAACTTTTTGGAGGACATTCCTTGGTACAAAAGTCAAAGGCTTATAAATATCATAATGAGACAGAAAATAATCACTGCTAAAAATGATTTCTCTTTTACGATAATTTACTTCCTTCCTCAATAGTCTTATGACAAGTCTTATTGTTACAAGGGACTCATTCATAACATAAATAGTGAAAAGTGGGTGTTACATTGTACAGTGGCATTAAGTAACTTAATGTGCACCTCTGCCTACCCCTTCGGTGATAAGGTGTGATGTTATGTGTTATTATAATTCACCGTTTCAATGCATTCATCATTGCGGCATTGATGATGCCGACTTAGCAACGATATTCATTATTTTTCAGTCCAGCATGCATCCTACCATGCGGTGAAGCAGCACTGGTGACGCGCTGGTCGCCTCGCATGTATGCACTCCGCGAGGGTGGCCCGGCCCCCGCCTTCCCAGCCACAAGACGTATGATACTCGCCATTGGAACGAAGCGATCTGTATTATTATACGACACGCAGCAGAAAACACCCATAGCTCTCATCAACAATATACATTACACAAGGTTGGTTGGTATGACCTTTGAAACTATTTAACTGACTTCAAAAAAAGGATATTCTCTGTTTGACCTGTATGTGTGTTTGTACGCGATTATCTCGTGATTGGCTGAACCATTTTTGATGCGGTTTTCAGAACTTAATTGATTTTTTCTTGCTCAGGTTAACAGACCTGACATGGTCTCGGGACGGCCGCACGCTAGTGGCATCCAGCACGGACGGCTACTGCTCTGTCATCACCTTCGCTGAGGGCGAACTGGGAGAAGTACTTCCTGAAGAAGTAGCTCCCGAACCTACCACCACTCCAGCACCAGGTGAATATCACAGTATTTGTTTTTATAATAACTATCGTGAGACATACTAAATTAACTAAAATCACGGGTTACTCACGTGAATATACTGAGAAAAACTCTACTAATTTCGAACCCCTCTGTGGTTCAGCGCGCACGCGGAAGAACCCCTCTGTGGTTCGAAACTATTAGAGCTTTTCTCAGTATATTCACGTTACTCACGTGAATATACTGAGATTTTAGTTAATCACAGTATTTTAGTTTTAATTTTTATGAAATTGGTATACTTAAGCACCAATTCTTTTACAGAACCTATGGAAGTTGAAGAACAACCAGTGGAAACACCAAAAGTAGAAGTAGAGACACCACAAGTCAAAGAAACAAAATCAGCAGGCAAGATAGACTCATTCATTAAGTTCAAGGCACCAGAAAAATCTAAGAAACAGAAAACTGAGCCAGAACCTAAAACACCAGTCAAAATAGATGTCCTGGAAGAAGTGGCTATGCCATCGTGGTCAGATAACAGTAATAATGAAATTATCAAACCTAAAGATCCAGAAGTGATGATTGTAGATGATAGTGAAGACATCAAATTAGTTTATGAGGAAACTGAAGGAGCCAAATCTACATCAACATCTCCAGATTCACCTAAAACATCAGTAAAAACTGTAACAGAGAAAAGTCCTGAACAGAGCTCTCCAAAACCTAATAAGACTGAAGAAATCTCTAAAACCTTACTTGGCACACCTAGTAGTAGTAATGCCAAGGGCACAAGCCAGCCAACTACTCCTAAAAGTTCAGTAGAAAACTATTTTATGAAGCAAGCTAAAGTGACTGATGTAAAGGACCAAGCTGCCAAGTCTGCTCCGAGCCCGAAAGCTCCGCGGCGAGTTAGTTTCGTCACACTGTCAAGCCCTAAAAATGCTAAGAAGAAATAGTGTTCGATATTTTCATCACTTGTATATTTCTTTTGTTGTAACTGACGCAATTTTATCAACGCCATGTTACACCAGATTTTAACGAGGGAAATTAATTTGATATAAACACTTAAAAGTATTAATAAATTTAATATTGTTCACGTTTTAAATCATCTTACTCTTTAGAATAGTCCCCTCGCTCTTACGTCAATGATAAACCTGTTTCTTATTTCTACTATAATCTCCATTTTAATATATGTAATAAAAATAAGGATCAAATGTAATGTTTTATAATTTGTAAATAAAAGATGTGCGTAAAAGTAAACATTTATAATAAATATTTACAATTCAATGCGTAGTATCACATTCAAAATAAAAGTGAGTATAATATAACAAAATATATCTGCATCAATCCAAAGTTGATACTTACCTACTGATCGGACGTTACGACGGCGACGTATGTTTGATCATAAATCATGTTGGCATGTGTTTTGTTACGTCCTCTAATAGTCATTTCTGAATATACTAAACAGAATGAAAAACTGAAAATCCTCCAGTTACAAGAAAATATCGCCAACATTAGGAAAATGATAAATTAATATTATGTATATTATTTTAGTAACTCGTAACCATAACACGCATTTTACAATAGTTCTGACTGTGTGGTACACAATGATCAAATTACGTCATAACTCTCACGTTATTATAAATAAATAATTTATTTTTTCTGCCACTATAGAGAACGCAACATCAAACCGAGTGTAATCAAGAAATGCAACAGGCAATACGACGTACCTACCTAATTGTTGAAGTTCACAATATGTATTTAATTATTTATTATTGCTCAGATGTGCTAACTGCACCATCTACTAACTACACAGTACAATATCATGATAAATACACTTCAGATCTTGTGACGACTGTGACAGAAAGACAATCCAAAGATAGATATATCAGTACAAAGAAAGACTAAACCAAGCCCATAATTTCATACTGTACGAGTGTATCAGTTATAGAAGTTAAGAATCTGGTTATAATAAATACTCAGCACATCAGCTGCCTAACTACATTATCTAACTAGATTTTAATTTAGTTATTACCATGATAAATTGAATTGTTTATATTGATACATACTAATTAATATTGTATATGAACATACTACAATTAGTTAAAAAATGTAAAAAAAAATATTAGTACCTACCTAAAAACGTCAATTTTCACAAATAACTTGTCAGTAGAACACAAACAATAAAGTTTATTGACACATGAATTACTATGTGATGTGTTTATGATCACAAATCGCCACAGACCCAGAGCGTTAGAAGTTGCTACACAATACAGATATCATAGTTTTATCTAATAAAGTATTAGAATAACTTTGCTAGTGTAGTTTAGTCTCATACTTGACACAACTCAATCAAAACTTTATTACACTGAACTAAGGTCGAAAGGTTAGTCACTCAGTCTCAGTCCTGTTGTTTGGTTTAATTATAATGTTTTATAATATAATCTGTATTCTATCGATACAATCTCGCGAAGTCACGCAGTAGACGAGTCATTTCCTTGCATTTCTCCGCTCTGTAAACAAAGTAACAAGTTTTTATACAAATGTGGTAGAGAAGACAAGAACATAAAGGATAATGTTGTAATGAAATCTAACAGTTATTAAGAAAGAGTTCGTACACAAAGCTGCGATGCGACCTCGCATAGCAAAAATGTGCGAGCTCACTCTACGCATCGCAAGAACTTGCGAATTGATTCGCATCGCGCATCAAACCCTTAACTTCCCAAAATCTTCTTTGTTTCTTTTCCCTGTATCTCTTAAGCAATAACAGAAGTGCACACTTCTTTTTCCATGTCACGACCTAGTTTTCAATAAATACGTTTATTACGGTTGACAGTCGTCGAAGGAATGGTCACCTTGGGAGACGGCTTGTCGCACGAAATCGCATCGTAAAATTTTGCGTTTTGAATCGCATTTTGTGTACGAGCCCTAATAGAAGCATGAATATGATTAGAAATGTGAAATTTTGTTTTTTCCTTTGTGGATTTCATGCATGCCACAGATAACAATATAATCCGGAAGAACACTTTTCCCCGAAGAAAAAGGAAGGAGGAGCAATAATTTTCTACTAATATCTATGCTGTTAGCATCTGGTTATATGAATGACACTGACCTCATTGCGTACTGGTGGAACTGCCAGCACTGTTGTTGCGTGGCGACGGCGGGGCGGTCGCGCGGCAGGCGATGCAGCGCCGGCTGCAGCCAGTCGCGGTTGGACGCCTTCTGCCACTCCAGCAGCTCCAGCATCACCTCGGCCACCTCCGACAACATGTACGAGTGCAGGTGGAGGACGCTCGCCTCCATCAACCGGTACGTAAGCTCCTCGCCGTATGTTGTTAAAGCATTGTCTGCTAGAGCTGTAAAATATACATTTCTTGTTTGCGTTTTGTTGCTAGAAACTCTAATATAATAGACCCTAGGCACCATTAAACTACTTTTTCGTTAACTGGTTTTCTAGTAGGATGGTTTATACCTTTGATCTGTTGTTTGTCAGAGCGTGTTGAGTTGGCGACCTTAGTGAAGTCGTACAAGAACTTCATGACGGAGGAGTTCGCATCCCGGTGGTCGAGGCAACATGCCAGTGAGGCACATTGCATCACTGTCGGAAATGCACCTGATGAGAGGAACTCTTGTGGGATACGTTGTAAGAATCTGTAAAAAAAATAATTATTGTTAGTTTTCAAAGGGATGTTATTTGAAGCCTTGTATCATTAATTCATTTTAAATGAAATGTTCGATTATATGAAACTACAAGGTACTAACCGGATACATAGCCTGAAGAGATCATCGACAGTGTCAGGGTTCTCCTTGAGTCCGTTGTCCTGCTGCAGCAGATGGAAGGCGCGCGGCATGACGTCCTGCAGCAGCTGTACGAGGGGCGGCACCGCGCTGGGCACGGCCGACAGCTCGTCCAGCAGCACGGAGGCGAGGTACAGCACGCAGGAGTGCGGGCGGCAGCGGTACATGGCCTGCAGGCGCGCCGCCAGCGCCGGCGCCAGCCCGGCCGCGCGGCTGCCGCCCATGCGGACACCGAACCGGACGCAGCGGCACCAGCGCTCCATCACGCGACCGTCCATAGCGTACCTACATTACATGGTTAAATCAATAAGCCTATAATGTCTACATAACTCATTTTAATTTATAGATCCTGAACACACAATAGAATAGAATACAAAGTTGTTTATTTCACTAATACATGTTACAATAATGTCCACAGGTTGATGGTGTTCGACTTGTGGTTGTATCAGTTACAATCTACCTTTGTTTGTCTGAGAGACCTATATAAGTGTTGTGGAGTGTGTGCTGTCAGTTTGTTAGTATGTGTATGAACAGACATAGTTTATAAAAATTAAATGTGATTCCATATTTCCCTATCACAGTTCCCACTGGTTATAGTTTATATGAATGCGGAACAGTCGTTAGCTTGCTGAGCAACCTACTCCTGTCTTTCTTTGGTATACATTCGTATGGATTTCACCTAGTCTAGTATTAGTAAGAAGAGGGTTGTGCTGTTCCCACCCGTGGTAAGTGTCACCAGGGGCCCTGAACGCACACCCAAAAGGATTATACAAGTGTATGATCCTTTTTTTTATTTCATTAAGCCTTAAAAAATGCTCACCTTTACCTTCGATGAGGATGAACACCAAAATAAAATGCAATTTTAACATAAAAAGGGATAGGAAGTTTTACTTACTTATCCAGTGCTTCCTGCAGCACAGGCCAGGCATCAGACAAGGCGGGCACGCAGGGATGCGTGTCGGTGATCTGTGAGCTTTGCACGTCGACGTCGCGGAAGAGAGCCGCCATGCGGTCCAGCCAGACGGTCGGGTCGCTACTCGTACCTTTGGTTATTTCCACATTCGACTTCATCAGTTCCGACAAGCCGTTGATCTGAATGCCGACGGCCTCACGCATTGCGACAGTTAGCTAGAAGTATATATGTTATGTAGACGGGTTTTAGCTATGGAAACAAAATAAATTATTGTCAATATTCTTGTTTAGTTGTGACTATTATTTATTAGCCTAACTTAAAGTTAGAATCTAAAGATAAACACAAATATACATATTTTTAACTGAGGGGCACAACACTATTTAGTAATAATAATGACAATTGGTAAGCTGGTACCTGTTCATTAGGCAGTCGTCCTATAGCAGACGCGAGTGCCCGCATGAGTGCTGCGGAGGCGTGCGCGTTGAGAGGGAGCTGGTCGGCCGCCGCGGCCGCGCGGAGCAAGCCCGACACGTGCTGGGCCGCCTGGGATCTGCAGGCGCGGCAGATGTTCTGGAAAAGATAACAGGATCTTAGTAAAACAAAAAACGATGATTAACATGGAAGAATTAGAGCCAAGTGTAAATTGTAAACATGAACACAAAGAAGATGATAATATGTGATGTCAATATCCCTCACCTGTAACGCTGTAGCGGCAGAGTACGCCAATTGCTTATCATGTAGGGCTCTGGTGAGGAACTGTAGACAAGGCTCCAAACACTCGGAGTGCCGTTCTATCCACTCGCATAACTCCCCTAGTAAGAGGATGCACGTCTTCCTGACAGCGAGGTGTGTGCCTTCAGGCATCGACAGGATTGCGTCCACTACTTTCGGAACATACTCGTATTCCTCCCTGTAAAATTAAGAGTATGTTAGCAACACAAAAGAATGGAGTAAGTTTGCATCTAAGTCATCAGTAACTAGTAGTTTACTCACGGCAGTATATTCTTAGCAACAGCTTGCATAACAAAGAGTGCTGCTTCAGTTTGTTCCCAAGTGATATCAGGGTTGAGCACCGAGAACATTTGGCGGAATACTGAGCTGGAACCCACTATGAACACCACATCTTTAATCAAACCCATTGCTTTACTGCGGAATTCCTGCAAGAGAAGATTGAATTAAGTTACCCAGCTCAACAATAGTCAGTTTCGCCATTTTTTCTGATTTTGTAATGATACTCATTATAAACAACTAAAAGAGAAGGTAATTATTATTCCCATGCAGCCAGCCAGCAGTTCGGTGATAGAATAAGTCACCAAAAAAGAAGGTTCCGTAATAACATGACTATTACTTCCACTTACATAGAACTCATCTCCCTCATCCAGCATCTGTTGTGTATCAGGCTCGCACTGGCAATGCCTCGCTAGTCCTTCGATTAGTCTCTCAATGTGAGGCTTGAAGGCATCAGTCAAGGGCTGGTAGTCTCTCTGGTACACTTCTTCGGACAGCCGGTACCATAGATTGAAAGTTATTTCTGCTATCTTGAAGTGGAACATTGAAACAAGTATTAGAATATTTACGTACTGTAGTAAGCAATACTAAATTACAAGATTACAACAAGAATAAGCTTAAAACACTTCATAGAAATACATTGTTAGTGTTTTCTCATGTGGGTTTGTTTTTAGACAGGAGTAGGGATGTAAAATGCTAAAAAATATTACAGACATTTCATGTATCAATATTTTGTAGCATAGAATAAGAAAAATATTTATATGATGAATCACAACACAACAATGGCTCTAGAAGTATAGTTTTACAATATTTACTGTTATTTTCCTGTTGATTAATATTGCAGATTATTGCTAATTCTGTTAAGGCTTGTATTTCAAGAGAAATATTAAATGATATCTGCTGTTATCTGCATCAATTTGTCAATGTTCTTTATGAGACTCAACACTTTCGTACAAACTTGTAACTTAACTTTGTAAAAACATGAGTTTGTTGTTGTAAAATGTATTCTGTATTACAACAATATGTATAATTTAACTGTTTATATGAATATTATGCATACAATAGACATAACAAACCAATGAATACACCATTATATTATACCCATTACTTTGTTTAAACTGTCAAACACCAAGCGGTCACCGGTGACCGAAATCTATTCTTTAATTGTGTCTATAATGATGCTACTCAACGAGTTAAATAAACAAACAATACATTATATTTATAATGTTATTTACCTCATAATCATGATTTCCAACACACACTAGTGCTAATTCCAAGGACCTCAAGGCAAAATGAGATGATCCTCCAGACATAGAAATGATAATCTTCTCTAAAAATGTCTCGGCCAGCTCTGTGAATATTCTTGCATAGTTGGTAGCCTTCTCATCCTCCTCATAAGCCACAGCCATGTGGTAGCTCTCCTCCAGACCGGACACACTCTCAAACAACAGTCTCTCAATATTGTCATTATTGTTATTCTCCTCTAAGCAGTGCAACAATGCAGTGATGCAGTCAGATGCAGCATCATGCAAAGTATTTATTGTCTTAGGATCCCTTAAAATCTGTAAACTGTAACCTATAACAGCATTCTGAGGAACCTCCTGTATATTGATTGCTTTCACCTGTATCCAAGATGTCATACACTTTATCACTTTTAATGTCACATGGGAGTTCTGAAAGTTTGTGATGCTTTCTTTTAAGAATATATTTACCATATGAGCATTTGACCTTAATTCTGATTTAATTTCTTCCCTCCTATTTTCACCAAGTTTTAAACTAGGTGAGTCAATCTCTTGAGGTAACACAGTTAATATTTCTAGAAGGGCAAAATCATTTTTATTGGAAAATGATTTAATTAGGTCACCAATACAGTTTTGCCATTGTGGCATTTGTAGAGCTAGATCTGCTAATGCTAGAGAGAGTTGCGTGAGCACTGAAGCACTGGTCTCTGGAGATGTGAGCTCCAGGTGTGCCACCAGAGAGTCTCTGAGAGACACAAGAGAATCAGGTGGTAGCTCATTCAAGCTGTGTTGCACCTTTGACCTCATAGTTTGAGCAGCAAAGTAGCAAGAATTCATATCCTTTCTTTTTTGTAGTAGTTCGTCGGCTATCTTCCAAGAATGTATCTGTAAATAAGGTTATAATAAGCAGCAATTTTAAATTGACATAACTACATCGACAAACTGATCATGGTTAAAAGGTAGACACTTACGGATTTTTGCATATCTCCGAGCCATAACGAAGCCTTTTCTTTTTCGCCAACGTTGGGGTTATCATATAAGGCGCTTATGGCCTGGTAAATAGTGTCCATTGTAGGGGCATCCATGTTGATAGACCGGTATTTTACTTAATAATATTAGCGCCACTCTATCGTAACACTTATATCACACACTGTCATATCTAAAAACGTGGAAAACGACCTAAAAAACTCGAAATAATTAACAAACAAGCAAAAGTCGTAGGAATGCTTGACTGAAAATGAACCATAAACAAATAATGTGGCTATGGCTCTTAACACATTTACCTTTAATAAACGTCCCACTTTCATTTTATAAAGGTATACATAAATGTTAAATAGCACTGCTAGTTTGACGAATTTCCATATAAACATTTGTTGATGTCTTATACAAATATAAAATTGATACTTTTGGTCTCTATTTCGGTTTAATTGATTTTTATTTTACCACTTAAGTGGTGATTAATTTTTACTGGTAACATGTTTTTAAATGTCTCTGTCCAGTGAAAGACAATATTCCTCTATGGAATACGTTCGGAAACTAAAAATTATTGACGTCTTGACGTTCTTATATTTTGATAAAATTATTATTGTTTATCTGAAAGTAATTAAAGAACATTAGAAAACGAGGCTTAAAGAGCTATAAATGGTATCATTAATGATAATTCTATTTATATTTGTCGATAAGTGAAGATTTAAGAAGGCTTGACGAACGAAAAAACATCTGTCTTATTTCATATTTCAAAAGGTCAGTCAGTAGATTTTATCATCTGTTGACTGAAAGGATCGATAAAACGAAGATAATAAAAAATACATAACCCGCTTCTACAAATGTTTCCTACCGGCACTACTATTATTCGTCTTACAACAGCATCGTCAAGGCGAGCGATCGGTCGAGCGCTACACACTTCGTACATAGCCATGGCACCCATAAAGGTAATCTTGTAGAATTTTGTGTTTAGAGCTTATATAATAGCCGGCTTATGTGATATATAATGAATAATGTTTCCGTGTGTTTAGGTTGGTGAATCTCTGCCGGTGACGGATTTGTTTGAAGATTCTCCGGCAAACAAAGTGAATGTATGCGATTTGACGGCGGGGAAAACAGTGGTGCTGTTTGCTGTGCCTGGTGCATTTACCCCGGGGTGCTCGAAAACCCACTTACCTGGTTACGTGCAGAATGCGGACAAGATCAAATCAGATGGAGTAGACGAGATCGTGTGCGTGTCGGTCAACGATCCCTATGTTATGGCAGCCTGGGGGCTCCAACACAACACTAAAGGAAAGGTAAGAGCAGCAGCTAATTTCTTTTGATGTATTAATTACTTGATACAACTTCCTAAAGTCTAATACATGTTTGAAAATTTTTTTATTCCTAAATCATGAATAGTTGGGCTTAGGTATTCTAAAATCTAGTCCTAGGTTGTCAGTATTAACCTTGTGATAAGGGAACATATATTATCTCCTACTTTGCTAACTACAAACATAATGCCATAGGTCAAGTAGGCAACAGTAGGTAACTATTTGTAGAACAACACATTAATTAATTAAATATTAATGTAGTACATGTATGTATATAATTATATGTATACACACATTTTTGGAGATATTTTATTAGTTACTACTAGCATGAAGGATATAAAATTATGACAATAAAACATAATAATGGTGGAAAGTATAAATAAAATTACCATAGTTACCATACATATAGTTGTGTGTATTTCAGTTCAAAGTGTGTGCGTAGATTTTCTGAGGATGCTCATAAAAGAAATTTCCTAATTAGAAAGCAGTTTTTACTTAACAATTTATAGATAGTAAAATAATTCACCATACATAAGATTAGACAAGGTTTGTAAAGGTAATAGTTAAAAGAAAGAAGAAATAATAAAATTAAAATTTGTTAAAAATAAATTAATAATATTCATTAAATAAATTTAATTTAAATATTTGATTTGATGTTATAACTTTCATGAGACATACTAAATTAACTATTATGTTTAAACTAGTTAAGTTCCGTGTCAAATAATTATGTGAGAAAGCTGAAAAACATAATACCTAATTAATTTGTTAAGGTAATAAAAGGAATAGCAAATAACTAATTAATGTTGGAATACTGAAATGCTACTCAATTTTAAGTTGTGCTTAAGTATATTTCTATCTCTACAAATTCTTTATAAAATGACAGAGATGGCACGATATTTGAGCATGACTTAAAATTGAGTAACGTTTCAGTATTCCGGCATAAGTATGGTAAAATTAGAGAGCTATTGTAATATGTTTTGACAACACTCTATCTGAGTAAATGTTAACAAGGTCAGTGGGTAGAGTGATAAGTGGTATATATTTAATAAATTCATTACATCAGCGGGGTTTATCTACTTGAATCTTGTTGTCTAGTTCAGAAGCTGAGTGTCTCTTAACATCTAGGGACCCTTGATATTCTAGACTAGCTAATATCAAAGGCTAATGTTGGATGGCAGCCAATATGACCCTCCCTGAAGTATTATACTGAAAAAATATAGAATAACATAAAATTAGAGAACAGGGTTTCATGTTTATTAATTTTTATTGGTGTCATAGATCAAATCTCATTACAATGCTAGTCCTTACATGTAAGTATAGTTAAATTCCAATAATAATACTTTAAGCAACTTGCAGGCTGCATGCTAAATACAAGTACTTTCAACTCAGCAGTCATTTGACTAACAAGGTACCTCATATTTTTATACCTCTTGCTAAAAGATAGCAACAATAGTTAAACTTGCAAATTAATGACGACATTACAACAAAACTGCAAATCATGACATTGAATACTAAGTAAATAAAAATGCCTTGGTACCTATTATTCTGAATACAGTATGTATCAAAGTAAATTCTACTAAAAAATTGTTCCAAATGACTAATTTAAACTTAACTCGTCGAGTACCGGTTTTATAGACACAATTAAAGAACAATAGGTCGCGGTCACCGGTGACCGCTTGGTGTTTGACAGTTTAAAATAGGTATGACATTGAACTGTTTAAGTTTTTTCCTGGAGATTTGTAGTAGTAGAGGTTTTTAATACCTGTATTACCTGTTATTGGTGCTTTCGCCTGTCACTTTTGCTTATGGGTCGACGTGCTCCATCGTAGACCGCATCATTGCTTACGTCGGCCCATCAAATATCAAAATAAAAACTTAATGTTGTGTAGAAAAGAACAATTCCACACTTCAATTCCTGAGTAGTTAAACCCCATGACAAGAATGCCAATAGTAGATTCATATCGTCAAAGAAACCCCGAATAAGTTTGTCATATTTTATAATGAAACCTTGTGCCGCGACTATTTTTGCGTCGTCGCGTGTGGCCCATGGTTTGCGTGCCATAAGTTTGTTAACCCGAATGAGAATCCTGCAAGTATTTACCATAAAATCTTATTGCATCATATTTTACCTCAATTTTAAGGTACTGTAATATACTATCTGCCACTTCAGCCTCGTGAAGTACGTAGATAACTATTTAGTCTTAATTGTTGTATTTAGGCCACTCTCAGAGTTTGTGCATATTAACGTTATTTAAGCAGCCTAGCAAAATTAGTAGACATCTAAGGCTATCTATTCTATTCCATTAATATTACGTAAACGGTTTGTGTTATTAACATTTCAGGTATTTACGCAAATCGTTTGAAAAAATAGCTATCCTTGTACCCATTGTATAGCCACATAAACCTGAACACCGTCTATTAATTTGGATTCCCCCTTTTCAGAAAATGGGAATGATCCTAATTAAATGACCGCGCAAACAGTTACCTGTTTACTTTCACTCAATTTGTCAATAAACGTAATGACCGGGAAAATGGCCAAAAAATGTAGATGTTTAGTTATAATGGACTATAAAAGCGGTCGGCCTGGTGGCCGGCGACAGAACTCATTATGAAATCAATACGCCCCACTTGCGACGACCTCCGGCCTTTTGATTGCTAAATTATTCAAGTTGATGCCACGTTTTAAACTTTGTACAATTTACTGATATCGATTCTTGGCTGTAATGACAATGACCATCACCTTGAATCGATCAATCGTACCGCAAAAAGAAAAAAGAGCCCATGACTAAATTTATTGCTGCACGAATCAACGGCTTTTAAGTTGAGCTACTCACTAGAAATCTTGAGCTGATCATTCGTAACAAATATTGGCGATCGTAAAATCCCGTAGCCAAGCCAAGTTAAGAATCAGTGCTCAATCCACATGGTGAAAGAAAGTTCCCCAATAGAAAACCAAAAAACTTTCGCAGCAATTTGGGTTTCCATTTGGTATGAAAATGATAGATTAGTTTGTCAATAGTTTCTCCGGCTTTGTTTGCACAAACACAGAAGAAAATATATTGGAATCGATATTCAAACCTGTACATAGTCTTACTGTATGCTCGTGATGGCAGAGTTTCAAAGCTTTGTGTAGATTGTAGACCAAAGCTAAGATCCAAACAAGGTTTCAAGTACGAGCTCTTAGCTCAAGATAGTTCGAGAGTGCCTTGAAAGCGGGCGAGCTGCGAGCTTTTGAAATAAAATCCTACATAGGTTTGATATCGTAAATATTTTATCTACGACTTTTGGTTTGTCTCGTCTGAGGTCTGAATGCCTGTCAATAATTCCAACCAAGTATTCATCACTGAAGCTGATTAAAAAACTCAAAAATTCTTATAAATAAAAGAGCATTAAAAATAAAAAAAAAATAAAAAATAAAAAAGTTTATTTCATATACAAAAGGCATTACATAAAATTATTGGAGATCACCTTTTAAGCAATGGATTGCTTGTGTTAGGAGACTCCGCACTTCCACATGACATTCTAAGTAATTGAATTTACAATGAAGATAATGTAAACATGCAAGATTAACAATAAAACAAGAAGAAAATAAATCAAGTTAAACTTACAATTCTAATCGCAGAGACAATGAATGTTATTATGAAAATACCAGATCGCACAATGTATGTATGTGTAGTATGACAATCATGTATAGTGAGTATGTGTATGAGTGATTGAGTGAGTAGGTGAGTGAAAGAGTGAGTGCAAATATGAGTGTAAGATTATCAGGAACTGTGTGAGTTGAGATATATGGTTTTCTTTTTTTTTATCTGTTAATTAACCAGTTCACCAATTAGCCCTACGACAAAGTCTTGGGATCGAAGGAATCCAAAAAGATTACCTTCACTAATTATATCATTCTAGCATTCTAGATTAAGAAGCTTAATACATTAATATGAGATTCAAATGAGATGTTTCCGCTCATTCGTTTTGTTAGGTACTGTGATGTAATTTGAAAAGGCTACATTGCGGATTTTAGCACGCACCTACGTAGCTTAAACGTCGTCCATAAAATCAGATAATCTCGTTAAAGTGTAAACTGGCGCAGCTCACGTAGCTCGTTAATTTCCGAGCATTTACTACATTTTTTAATGAAGGTAAGCTGCAAATTCTTGGGTTACAGGTCTCTTGTCTGTTCTATCTCTGACTTGTACAGGATATTAGATAAATTCTGATCAGAAGACATCATTTCAATTGTTTGACAATGCTAGTGAGCTACATCGCTACAGGTTGGTTTATTATAATTTCCTACTGAATTTAATTCAGTTCCTGTACCTGATGTGCCTGCTAAATGAGAACATCCGTGATCAAATAACCAATAATATGATATCTGTTTACATTTAATTAACGAAACATTGCTGTCTGAAAGTTAAATATTAATCATTTTATGTTTTTTATTTCCACTCTTTAATTTACTGTAGGTATACCTGTAGGCAGGTAATTGTATGTAAGTGGTTCGACATTGAAGCCAGCAATTCAGCATAAATTACGACGATCGATACATCGCCCATTATACTGTTAAGTTACTTACATATTCCTTGAAAAGCTAGGACAGAAAAGTATATCTACTTAATCACAGATGCTTTTTGATATTATAAAGTTTAGTGTTAATTGTTATTACCAGACAATTTTTAAACCAGGTTGTCCTGTTCAACAGAAAACAAACACAAGAATTTTCTACCGCACTATTGTAGAAAGGATCATGGCCAGTATTTGAGTACCAGACTATCTTAAAACTGCGCCCCTACAAATTGTATTAAACAGTAAATGGAGAATAGTTTACAAATTGGATTAAATTCAATAGCTCAAGTCAATAGTGAATTGAAAGGCTTTGAACTCGACTCCACTATGTGCACAGTGTATCGATCGTAGAACAGTGCGGACTTAATTTAGACCGCTCCAACCGCATGCACTATGCATATAATATGGATGTAGCGTACATTTAATTATACCTGCCATGCGACCACAAACACCGTATGAATAGGTGATGATGTATTATGGAAAGACAGGCGATCGGACTATAAACTATATTTCCACTATATTCTACTGTAATCTAGGTCAAATCTGATCTAGTTTTCATAAACGTGTCTCTTTTACTCCCTCCCTCGATTCCCGAGGTTCGGTGTGAACGAAAACATATATAACGAATGGTAGGAACTTCGGAAATACGCGTGTTGTTGTTATGTCACAATACCAACATTCATAAATCGCTAAATCCACCATCGCATGTTGACTTGTCGTAATATTGTATCCCCTAGAACGGCAGACCGAGTGTGCCGACCTCAATGTCGAGAACTGCCAATATTATCTAGTACCAAAATAATATTACTAAAAGCGACACTGAAAGGCGGAAACTTAATTAACTTCACTTTGTCACGTAACTAATTAAATTATTTAAGCGAATGCTGGAAACCTTCAGTTGTGGCTTTATGTGTAACCTTCCTTTCGCTCGTAAATATAAAACCTACAAATTAATACAAGTTGCTGAAATATATGGCGCCATTCTTTTTATAATTCATTAAATAATATGTCGGTATAGAAATGTATGAATAGGTTTTTGGAAAAGTTCAATATGAGGAAATGCGAATTGATGACTGGTTGAAAACCATTGAAGAAGTCAGGGTTACTATTTTCTTAAAGAAAAAATATGCACAATAGCAACATGATCACATAACAAATTGTATAAATAAGCTTGTACATATTCACAGATCCGCATGCTTGCTGACCCCTCCGGTGCATTCATCAAAGCGTTGGACCTCGGCATCAACCTGCCTCCCCTCGGCGGATACCGCTCCAAGCGCTTCTCCATGGTCATCAAGGACAGCAAAGTCGACCAACTGAACGTGGAACCCGATGGCACTGGCCTATCTTGCTCCCTGGCTGACAGACTCAAAGTCAAGTCGTAAACTATAGATGACTTAATGACTACGTAGAGGTCCATTCCCTAATCTTATAATTAGTGCCCTTTTCCATCGCACTCCTACGAATTTACGAGTACCTATACCTTTAACATAAGAACGACACCTATGTAAGTCGTAATGTAATTCTTGCATTTAAGTATGTTTAGACGGAATGCATGGACAATTCTTGAATATTGAACAGCGCTGGTTTTAGCTGCGATTTGTGTGTTGTTAGGAATGGCCTTTATCCCCATATTTCGCTAAGCGCCTGTCGCACCATCGTGTATGCCAATTATGTGAATGCCTTTCAGTCGGCAGTCTTAAAATCTAAGCTGACTTTTCTATTTCATTTTTGGGTTTACTTTATGTAACTTTTTTTAAGGTTTTTTTTTATTTTTGTATAAAAATGTTTAATTTTTATACAATTCTTTTTATTCAATTATAATTTGAAACAAACATTTGTTTTTATTTCATTTTAAATTGAATTGAATTAAGAGTAAATCAACGTAACATTCAAGTTATTTATCTTTGTATAATGAATGTAGTTGTTAAGAGGAATAGGTACAATGGTCAATTTTAAATGGGTATAATATAACGACTTGTAAATGAGCATATCTGAGGTTTATGACACATTTGAAGCATACAAGGCGATGTGTATGGCGTTAATTTAAAATTATGACCCCTTCGTAATTTGTGATCTTACACCTAGCTTTATGCAGCTCAAAAACTTTACGAGCACTTCTTGTGATATCGAAAAAAAAACGATTTATATAAATAGACTAGTACGAAATACATTAAGCGTTTTATTTAAGAACTCCCTTTGTATTCAAACTAGACTACTGGCGGCGTCATTAGTTCGGTTTAAGTGATTTCAAAATGTCACCGGCCGTCGCAGAAATATGTTGTGGAGGTATGTATGGCACCCGGAATGAATATAAAATGTGAATTAGGATGTGTTTCCAATATAATTATTCTAAAAGAAATACTTGAAGACAGCGAAGCAAAATATCGAATATGTAAAAGTACTGAAAAACATATACATTAAGAATTCATGAAGGATTGAAAATATACTTAGCTTGAATAACTTTACGCATACGTGTATTATACTATAGTATAGTTTACTGAATTACATAGTGATATCTCGTAAGCAAGGAAATAAAAACAGAAAAATTGTAATGTCAGTAAGTATAAGTAAGTAATAGTCAAAAATAAAGGGTATTATTTCTGCAAGTTTTGCAACCCTGTCGTTTGCTGAATCTACGCCATAGATGTCAGTGATTTACGCACGATTTACGCAAACAAGAACAAGCATGAAAATGTCGATAATGCAAAACGTTCCAGATTTCGTATAAAAAATAGAAAAGTGTGCACAGAACTTTTGACATTGACATTTACTTCACAAAGGGTAAAAGTCCTTTATTTATAGGCGTATCTAATATTAAAGTGGTGTTTAATTGGTTACAAAATGATTTTTGTTAATTTACAGTCCTAAATTCTTTTATTGTTTTTTCAGTTTACCTATTTTAATGCTCAAAAACTTAATTTTGGAACTGGACATTCGGCAACGTCAAATTTGACAACATGATAATGACATTGACACTATCAAAACAAATTATTGAGGCCGTCCTCATTTTAGTAATGTTTATTTATTAAAAAATATAACTGAAGATGGCATTATGACCAAGAACTTTAAACATGTATAAACGGGTACATTACTTTGGCACAATATTGTTTATGTGTTCACTTATATATTTAGTTAGAGTTGTATTTACTGAAATTTTTGACGATGAAAGTGCTCTGGTCGACGAATGGCTTGACCAGAACGATCTTAGTGAATATAAGAAGCTCTTCAGAGAATATGGTGAGTACTAGAATGTAGTCAAGCTAACTGTATGTTCAAATGAAATGTAAATAAGAGAAATAACGTTGTACCTAGAGACTACTTGGTGTGCTTCCCAGGTTAGGTACTTCTAGTTATATTCTAATTTGGTATACTCTATTTAATTGGACTGACCGGCAAATCTCAAGGGTACGATTTAGTAATAGAATGTCGGTTGAATTTTATGTTAATTAAATCAATATTAGTTTTCACGGCTGTGCTAGAATAGCTGGATGTTTTCTGAGTTTCCAGGTTTTAAAGAACCATAGAAAACTAATTTGATATTGTGTATTAGCTCTATGTCCAGAGATTTAGACTGGAAGTTCTCTCAGCATGTTTTATTATTAATTTAATTAATAAATAGTTTTAATTGAAGATAATTTGTTTTGAGTAAAATCTATTTAACTTCCTAGTTAGTTACCTGATAATTAAGGTTTTAGATAACCACAACTGTATAAAACTACTTATCTATAGAATTAAATGTTTTATTATTTTTTGATAAGATTAGTAGTACCAGTTTAATTTTTAGGCTACTTAATCACAAATTAATTCTTTTATGATGCAGTTAATGACTGTTATTGACAACAAAAAAGTATTTACTGAGATTAAATAAAAATTATTAAAAAAGGAAATACATAAGCCAGTGTCTTACATTAAAGATAATCAATAGACATGAAATAATAGAAAGAGAAGTGTAATTTTTTTTTTACTAATAATACCACACTTTTCCCTACAGCCATTTTATAGTTCGGGCTGGCCCGAAAGAGCAGCTGAGCAGTAGTGAGGCTTGAAAGACAAGTCTAAGTGTAAATTTTAAGGTGGCCTGACCAACAAGATTAACAGACAATATCAATATCTGAAAATACACTCAACTTATATTTTTTCTTATTTTTTGTCCTGTTCACAATTTTAAACTAGCCTCAAAGTTTACCAGACATTTCAAATGGATCTGTTTTTATAAACATTCTATCCTAATATTCAAAGTACTTTGTGTTTTTTTAATAAACTGGTAAACATGGTTCTTGGACACCTATTTAATTTAACTGTTATGTCTCCAGTTGCTTGAGATTTATGTGTATGATTGAATAAATATCTTTGCTTTAAAACTATAATAAGATATAACATTACAGAATAATCCTAAAACAGAATAATATTAGTAAGCATCAGAAATAGCGAATTTTCAGATTGCTAATGTAAATTCATAAAGTTCAAGTTTCTATTTTTTACTAAACAAAGCATTAGGCGTTACTAATTATCTTTTCTTATCTATGTGTAAGTTGTACCCAATTATTATTATATTCGTAACTCTACTGTAGTTCAATGACCACTTCATTAAAATTCAAACTTGTGCCAGTTAACATGCTTGAAAAAAATTTTGAAAGTAAAAATTACATTGGATCCCTTGTGTAGTCAGATTATGATCATAATCCTATTAACGTGATGAAAGCGAGAATGCCGCGGCAGAAAAATGATATCAGTATCTGTAGAGATCCCGCGGGCCCAGGCGTGAGGGGCGGTTGTGACGTAGCCACCCGCTACCCCCATTCGCCACCCCCCACCCCGCCGACAAACAAATACAAAGACCGCTCTTTCAGTCGCGTCGCACCCTCCGTGCCGTGCAGACGTCGCTCTACTCATGCATATCACCACACATCAGCTTAATATTATGATCGTTTTTATTCAAATTGTGTTAGAAAACACAGTTGGTATCAATTAAAATTATATTTATCGAATAACCTATTTAATCTCGTTTTAATTTCTGATCAGAGTGAGTTTTCTTTGTTCGGGGATTGTCAGTGGTGAAGGCGGTTAATTCGGTTTAGATTATTAATGTCAATTGAACTCTAAAAGTACACCATGTGGCAATTCGAGGACTCCGAGATATATTCCATAGGGATGATCCATCCTTCCAACAGCCGGCATTCGGGGCTATCTATGCTGTCTGGAGTATCCCAGTTTTCAGGTAGGTTCATGTAGCTTGCAAGCTGGACGAAGCGCACGATAAAACGTTGAATGAACTCGAATGCAGAAATATTTTAGGACTTGTTTTTGTCATTTTTGCACAACATTATATTCAGGACGTGACAAAGCGATGCGCCAAACCAAAAATAAACTGAAACTTCATTAAAATGCTGACCGAAATTAGTCATGTGGCAATAATTTAAAAATATTGTAATCAAATTCATTTTGGCGACAGTATTCATGACACAATACTAATAACTTGAGAGGGTCCCCAGCAGTAACATTAATAGCCTGTAACAAACAAACAATCCTGTTAATCGAGTTGGGACCTAAGTCAGCGGTATTAAAGTTGACGTTTGCCTGACAAGTTGCGCGTAACAAGGTTTCGCAGTACCATTGTCTGGTTAATCCCTTCAGCGTTGTATCGTGCACTGCGTTATCTACAATGCTCGATTTGGATTTCAGCACACGTATGTACCATTTACTTTTGCGTGGAGTTGAGAATGGAAAAGGTATTGGTTTCTTGTTATTTAATAGGTACACAAACCTGAAAGAAGTTACAAATGTCTTTCGATAGTTCTTCTATCTTTCAGCTGATTGTTATTTGCAGGTGAAGCCATTTCTCGCTTCATTTCGATGCATCAGCAATCTATTATGTCATATTTTTTCACTTCATCAATTGGATTGCATCATTTTTATGTTTCGGAGGGCAAAATATCCTCTTTGAACCCTCACACATATAAACTCACCTTTGACATTTAAAAAGTGTCCAGTTATTAACAGTTACTGGCGAGAATATTTTCACAGCCATTTTGGCCCAGAGGTGTCGTGAACGTGATGAATAGCTTTATTTAACAGAATTCATTGGGATTCCAGCATCCTTTATCTCTTTTACGGGCGTTGCTAAACAATCGCAAGCATATCATAATTATTTGTGAAACTTCATTAAAGTTGAAAGGTGGGCTACGTAAACGAGTTAGCGAATGGACCTTTAAAAAGTTTAATATTTACGTCTGTGACTTTCAAAGTTTCAACAACTTCTGTTCTGTAAAGATTTTAAATGCCAGTGCTTAATTTAACTTACTTTCCAATCTTTAGGTTTTTGAAGATATATCTCAGGGAAAATTTTTCTATTAAGAAATACCTTTCTGAAAAGATTTTTAATTAGACATTAAGCTCTGAAAAGAAGACATTACATTCGGGTCGTGCAGCCGTAATTGCAAGCTCATATCGTCTGCGCGATGTAATTGGGTACTTAGAGACCGTTTATGGTACTTTCGAGAGGAAATTCATTTAAAATTTGGTACTAAGTCAATTCATATAGGTCTCTTGAGAGCTTTATTACATGTTTCATTGGTTTAACGACTAAAGTTCTTATCAAAATTGCTAACTGCTAGAAGCTGTAAAACCGATTTTTGAGATCTAATTTCGGAAGACCTGATTTGACTAAGTTTTGTGAGCTGAAACAATACGAGGTGTAATGGCTTTTTTTTAAATCTAAAAGCTTTTTAGGGGCTTTTATTACTGATATACAGATATGTCAGCCACGTCGTACGCTTTACATTACTTTACGTACTTTACATTACTTGATTATTACTTTTTCCTTAGGTACTCTAAGAGAATCACTTGATTAATTGTTATTCGTGGAGGACCAAAATCAAATAGCACAACTTTTTCATAATCGCTGACAATGATACAGATAAAATGGATTGTATAATGCCTACATCAAATGTATTTATTTATTTTAATTCCTTCACGAATACCTCACGTTCTTCTCCGTTCCGAGCACACTCCATCAGCAAATGTTGGTCATCTTCGATTTGAGCACAAAGTGTACAGTTAGGAGAATCGGTCTTTTTTTATAAGAAATGCAAATTTCGTCGACGGATAGTGTCCTGAACGGAGTCTTAATATTAATCTAACATAGTTTCTATCCAAATTAGTATTCTCACACCAGGGAACACGAGTAGGCTGACCATGGATGCTTTTACCTTACAAATACCTTGTGAGTTTATATTTACTTGCATATTCCCAATAATCAGGTACATAATTAATCAAACATCCCTTCACTGCTGCCGACCTGGATATACGGTCGGCTAATGCCTTTTTAAACGTTGCATCTTATAGCTGTCGCACGGCTAAAAGTAATACCTACACTGAATACGGAGTCATTTATCTGGATCAAATTGTCTCTGAAATATTACCGCTGAGGGACGGAATTGCTTAAATATTTGAATGTCCAACTCCAGTTGTTGCATAACAGGCACCCGCTGAAGGGAATAAAACGTCGCGCGGATTAATATCGTTCTTGTAATACAATGTTTTATTGCTGAGATATTAAAAAGTATGAAAAAGTTTAAAGCTAGCGACTGAAACTAATTGCAAACAGCACTCATCGTACAAGTACAACGTTGTTTCTGTTACAACGTTGCTGCCATCCGTGCGTCACTGCATGGGTGCCCACTGAAAATCAGTGCTGGATAACCTGTATGCCTGGCTTATACTGAGTGGGTAACCCTTTTAGCATAGGCATGTTGTCAGCGTCTCTTTTCTAATTCTTCTGTTTAAATTTTTCAACTCTTATATTTTTATTACTTCCACTGTCACATCTTGATTGTCTTTTTTTTATTTTTATTTATGCTGCATCGTGCCTGGTGCTAAATAAATGTTTTTTCTTTCTTTCTTTCTAAACAGTAAGCTCCCGCGGTGATTGGTCCAAGTTACACGGGAACAACTCCTGAGTTTTGTAAAGTTTTGCAATGGTTACTAATATTTCCCGGTTCGTCCGTGGCCGTAGCTTATCGGTACAGAAAGTAGATTAGCAAAAGTTGTTAGGAATTATTATGGAAGTTGAGATATTCATTGGTATTGCCAGCTTTATCTTGGATTAGTCTGCTGATTTCTTTCTGCAGACTTTTACTTAAACTTAATTTGACTGGAAGCCATAAGAAATAGGGATACTTAGGTTGAAAAATACTCTAAATCACGTTTAGGTCTTGCTACTTGCTTAACTCGTCGAGCGTCTGCGTTCCTTATGATCCAACCGTGTGCACCCACACATGACATTTGAAGAAAGAAAGAAAGAAAATGCATTTATTTGGCCATTGGCACACGAAATCAAGGATCATTACAATAGAAATAAAAAATACAGTGAAAATAAAAACAAAACATTAATAATAGATTTTATAAATGAGTAAGCAGCATGGAGCATTTTTCTTATGATCCACCGGGTGCTCATAAAGACGCTCGAAGGGTTAAGTAAGCTCTAGGTAGTTTTCGGAATATTTTCGTTCCTAATTAAACTGTCAAACACCAAGCGGTCACCGGTGACCGCGACCTATTGTTCTTTAATTGTGTCTATAAAACCGGTACTCGACGAGTTAATCAAGAATGTCAAGGATCCTTCGTTTGACCGTAAAATGTAATCGCTCGACTAGTTTCTGAAAAACTATTTAACCTACTACAAGGTAGATAAGGGTCAACCTCAATGAAAAAATAATGTGCTTCGTTAGTAGTTGTCGTATAATTATGGTGGCTTTAATTAGATTGCAAACTTTACGTGAAAACAAGGAAGTTTATGGCCCGGCGTTGATTACAGTTTAGTAGGCGGACGGGATAAGGTAGAGGGTATGGTGTTGAGCGGTAGCGGGCAATATTATATTTTCATGGTAATTTCATCTTGAAAGTGAAATTTTTTGGGCTTCAAGTTTCTTGTATGCCTGATTGTCTGACTAGTTTAAAATAAGGTCCTTAGTATGAGTAACAAAATTATTTTTATTAACCTCTTTTATGTCGGTATTTAAGACACAATAGAAAACGCATTGTGTCTCGCGTAGATCTACGCTCCAACATACCAGAGGTAAAGGAAACTAAGAGATTTTGAATGAAATACGGCTAAATATAAATATCATTTGCATTAATTACTTCGAATCCATCTACAGCAAAAAATATTACATATTATCTTATTGTAAAAACTGCAAAGGAAGTTATCCAGCCACATATATATATATATTTTTATCTGCATTCGGATAGTGGCGTGATTCAATATCTGTCCAAATAAAAATTTATAATCAGTTAATACAGGAACTATAATCCAAAGTACAAGCAGAAGAATTGATAAGGAAAAATAACAACAATGAACAGACACTAAATTATCTGAATTACATTTATTGCACCTAAGACTGAATAACGTACCGAAATAAGTAACACAATCTCACACTTTGGTCCCTTATAAGGACGCAGAAATCACTATGATCCTCATTGTACTCTTAGCGATATGTGATAGAATCACATTTATGCATCTGTTCATAGAAGCAAGTGAGAATGGCCTTAAAAGGGATGCTAGTATGAAGACGTCCAAAAGAAGAAATCCCTATGGATAAAACAAGGTGCTTAAACCCGCTATGCTTATAACTTGGCCTCTTAAATGCAGCTCTCATGGCGAGCACCACTTGGAAGTAATTCAAAAGGCCCTCGCTCACCGGACCCCGACGTATGTTAGCCTTGTACCGTTTGGAGCGCGCTTTGTTTGACCACTCACGCTCCCTGGCTTTCATTACAGCTTTGTGTTTCAGCCAAGTGCCAGGCTTTACGCCTAATGTTTTTGAATAACCTTTATCGGATCACAAAATGCGATACTAATTATGAGATCATACAATTCGAAGAATAAGTAATTTCAGACTGAGACCGTATAAAACGATCAATCAGAAACCAAATGATCTCTTTTCGCTGTCTAACTGAAATCCAATGATGACGTAACGCAAAACTGAAAACTTCAACAATTTGTTGGTACAAAAAGCTTGGTCACAAAAACTGCGCGCTGCAGTGACCCACTTCTCTGTTTGCTTTTAATACCCAAAAACGGCCGCGTGTGTAAATAAAAATTTATGCATATCCAATACATAAATTGTTTTACGAAGTGAGATAAAAGCCATCGGGCCGGATTAACCGAAGCAATTAAAAATTCCATTAAGTTTTCAATTTGGCACAGTGACACCGTTA